AGACGATTGTACAGCTTGATGGATTTTCACCAACTCGACACTTCCATGTAAAAAACACCCAGATGAAGACACATTATCAGCACCCCAACAGCTTTTCCTAATGCCTGGTTCAAGCATCCCCTCTCCCACCTCCTGTAATCACTATCCAGACCTGTAATAACATTGAATAGTTTTAACTTTTTGTATCTTATAAAAATGGGATCATATGAGTTCTCTCATCTGTCTTTTATTCAGCATGTTTGTGAGATTCACATCACTGTGAGAAGCTGTAGATCATTTATATCTCATTGCTGTAGATCATTTATATCTCATTGCTGTGTAGGTATACACCACAGTTGACTTACCCATTTTCCAGGTGATGGGCATGTGGGTAGTTTGCAGTTTGGGCAATTATGAATAGTGCTATGAACATTCTGGTGCACATCATTTATTGAAAATATGGACACATTTCTATTGCATATACCACTAGGAGTGGCAGTTAGGTCAGAAGATATGCGTCTGTTCAGTTTATAAGATACATGGCCAGTGGTCTTGCAAGGTGGTTTAACCAATTAATCCCACCAGCAGCTTATGAGGGTTCCTCTTAATTTACTCCCTTCCTGACACTTTTTTATCCTTTAAAAATTTTTTTAGCTGTTCTGTTTGTATAGTGGCGTCATTTTAGCCAGTTTGGTGGGTGTTAATTTGCATTTCTCCGATGACTTATTTGAGCACCTTTTATGTGTCCATTGGCCATTTGGATATTGTTATATAATTTTTTCAGTCTTTTGCCCATTTTTCTGTTGGCTTTTTATTTCTATATATGGGTCCTTTGTCAAATGACATCTGAACAGACTCTCACATTCTGTAGGTTCTTTTCACTCTAGTATGTTTTGATGAACAAGTTTTTAATATAGTCCAATTTTTTTATTATTTATGATCATTTTCTGGGACCTACTTAGAAAATTACTGCCTACTTCAAGGTCATGACAGTTTTTTTTGCCTTTCATATTTAGATCTGTGGTCTATCTACAACTGATTTTTTGTGTATGGTGTCACATAGGGATCAGGACACATTTTCCCCCATATAAAAATCCAGTTGAGTCAATGAGTGTAGCATGCTGATTATACTCCTTGCTAAGCGGAGATGACAAGTGTTCTCATCACTTACCTGTATTCAAAATAGTGTGAAATTCTAGTTTACTGTGTGGTGAGATCTTTCAGTTTTCCCTAGACATAAACTCATCAATTCTGTATTTAGCTCAGTGTTGCTAACTCTAATTAGCCCATGATAATTCTAAATGGTATCAGGCGCAAATGTAATTCCAAAGACAAATGCAGGTATACAAACAAATTTTGTGATAGTTATCTGTTCACTTGGAGGTAGTAATAATACTTGATCTGCCTTGTGCCAGCTGTTGTAATAGAAACTTTATATTTATTTAATTCCCACAGTAACCACATAGGGTAGGGTTTCCATTTTGGTATCTTAGTTGCAGTGGATAGAGCTCCGCTCAAGTTAACCAAGGAGAGGTTGATCATAAGGAGAGATGGAAGTGGATTATTCTTTGGGAGTAAGACAGTGCCAAGACCAGCCTCTCTCTGGGTGTCTCTTGTTTCTCTGTGGGGTTTTCTTCTACACGTTTGTGCTTTCCTTCACCTCCGGGTAAGGGAAAGTTGTTGTCACATGGGATAAAACCTAACCAGATTTAAGAGCTCTGAGCAGAGCAGTTCCTCTTTTGGAAGGGGCTGAGAACTGGTGGATTTCATGAAAAATCTTGTCTAATTCATTATAAGCCCATTTACAGATAATCAGACTGACTGTACAAAAGCTCAGAAACTTGCCCAGTACTGTACAGTTAGTGAGAGACAGAACACCTCTAAAGTCAAAGCCCAAAGTCCACTTTGTTCATAAAAGTTGTAACTTGGCTAGATAATCCAATAATTAAAGCATTGTATATCAGAAAATAATTCATGTTTAGCTTTACTTGCTATGCTTTCCTACCAGTTGAGATCATAGTTTTTGTTTTACTCTAAATTTAAGTAGTTAATTGCTACTTCCCATAGGAGTGATTGATTATACTGTAAAGCATTTTGCATATTTCTAATTTTAAAAAGCTTATCAGTATCAAAATTTTAAAACCAGTGTTTATAAATAATTGTTTAATACTGTCATGCATCAGTGATGAAACTATTTTGTTTTGATGTGTTTTATTTCAGGTTAACATGTCCATTCCCAGCTGTCAACACAATGATTGACTACAAACTAGGTTTTAGATGCTGAGCAATTGTTTCATCCTTTCAGAAAAGTTAAGAAAGAAATCATTTTCTGGCTGCATGTAGACACTAGGAATACAACTCTTTTCTCTCAAAGTTTGATCATAAAGTTCTTCTGAAGGTGCCCTTTTAATGGTCCTAATTTCCTTATTTGTAGAAGTGTGTGATCTAAAAGGTCCCTTACGGTTCTTAAGATTCATTAAGATAAAGTTATTTCAAGAAGCCTGAAACCCTCATAGCTGTTAACTTTTATTTGAAGTGCACTCTAAAGCATGGATTAAAGTGAGTGTGGTGTGTTATTGCAAGCACAGTGAGGTAGTCCTTAAATATTACCATCTCCCTTGAATATCTCTCTCACCTACAAGCAACTACCCTGGAACAATCTGTGTGGGAAAACAAAAAGATAATAAAACATTGACTTGGGTAGGGACATGAGACAGGACCCAAACAAAGAGAAGATTGTATGATATGCATATAATCGAAGTTTGCCTTCTAGAGGTGATCGGTAATGGTACCATGAAGAAGGTGGGGCCTCAATATTCACTGGCAAGTAAGAGTAGGGTTAAATATAGATCTTTGTTTCTCAAAGCAGAATAGTTAAAATTCAGATTCCTGGGTTCCTTGCATATTTACTGAATCAAAATTTAGGGGGTGGGACCTGAGGACTGAATTTTTTAACAAGCTTCCCAAGTGATATATCCACTGAAGATGTTCACCAGCCTACATGGAGGATGGAATGACATGAGCAAGGACTGTGTAGTGAGGGTAGACAATATATCCATTCAACCGTATTTATTAAGCACCCAGTGTTTTAAATGCTTTGAATGTGGCTGATTTCTTTCCACAGGAAGATGATAAACTGACAGAGCAATTCATTTGCATTAAATTCTCTTCATATTAGGGGGAAAAAACAAAACAAAACAGCAATTCATTTGCATTAAATTCTCTTCATATTAGGGGGAAAAAAAACAAAAACAAAAAAAAACAAAACAAAATAACAGTTACCCCCAGAGTAACTTGGAGGATGTTTGGTATGTATTTTCAGCTGTCCCTGGCCAAACGGCAGATACTTCTGTTAGACACCCTGAAGGTGAAACGGACCATCCTGGAATCAATCCCTTCTTCACTGAAGCTGCCCATTTCTGTCAGTTGCTACTGGTTGCAGCACACAGAGTCCAAGGCAAAGCTACATCACCTGCAGGCCTTACTGCTAGGGATGCTGATGGGGCCCTTGCATGCCATAATAACCAGCCCTGGTAGGTATCTGGAAATTCCAGGAGTATATATTTGCATGTTACTTGCATATAATCAAGTTTAAAGAATTGAAAAAAAATTCTGGATTACTTACTCCCATCATTTATATCCAGAACTTAGGAAGAGGCACTCAAATAGCACTCATTCATTGGCAGATGTTTTTGAGCACTTCTGTGTGCCAGGCTCTGTGCTGTAGAGCTTGACTACAACAGCACAGCAGTGAAGATGTGCTGATACTGCCTAATCCCACCTGCTCTGTGGCACCTAATGCTTTTAATCTATGAAGTGTGAATGTATAATGTGCCAGTTATATTCTGTATTCCGTGTACCCTGGCCCTATCAATAGAGTGGCAACATCATCACTAGAAACCGATTTAAAATTGTCCATTGGTGAAACTTCTGAATACCTACAACCATAATAAACATTCATGCTTTTTTTTTTTTTTTACTTTTTCTCCACTGTAAGTTTCAATTAGTGTGTTAGTGATGGTAGAAATAGTAACTTTTCTTTCTATAATAGAAATACACTTTAAGGCAGTTTCAGCTGCATTCAAGTATCAGATGAAATAAATGAGGATGCATTGGAGCACTTCAATTCTCTAGTGGAATTACTCCCTTTAAAAGATTATGAATGCTTTAACACTTTATCTAAACATGTATAATCATTGTCACACTCCAAAACAGTGCTAATATCTAATGTAATGGCTGCTAGTAATGTGTGGCTATTTAAATTAAAACTTCAGCTTCTCCTTGACACCCGGCACGTTTCAAGTGCTCAGTAGCCACATATGGCTAGAGGCTGAATTGGACAGCACAGATACAGAACATTTCCATCACTGCTGAAAGTTCTGGTGGATAGTGCTGCTCTGGAGTTTACTTTTTAAAATAAGTTAAATGAGAGTGAACTAGTCTAGATTCCAGGACCCCCAAGTGTGAGAGTAGTTGTCAGAAGGCACTAATATTGTTCTAGGACAGCCAACTTAATGCCAAACAAGTTAAGGCCCACTATTAAGTTTTCTCTCGTTGAATAATAACTGTAGTTTAAGAACATTCTCAGGGCACAAGCCTGGGAAGTTTTTACCTGAGTCCAACAGAAGGGGCATGTCAAGGGTCTGTTTCTTTTCTTTTAGGAATTGTGGACCCCGCACCCAGGCAGGCTCAGTGCCTTGCTGCTCGCTAATTGGTAAAAGGTGGGCCTCCTTTTTCTTACTTTCCAGTTGGGTCCAGTATCATTTTGTATGCCCCTGCACAACCAAACGTGCAGAAGCTTACAGTTGAACGCACGCAGCACTCTTCGTTTCCTAGGGTTGTTGCTTCTTGCCTCTTATCCTCTATGTGTGAAGTAGATGACTGACCATATTCTCCTTGAGTCATGCTTTTGTTTTCCTCCCACAAAGCAGAAGTTAAAGTGTGCTTTGAACACAGAGGCTGTGTTAAGTGCCCTATAGAATAGGGGCCTCCATGGAAGGAAACTTAGTGAACGAGAACAGTGAAGAGAATGATATTTAATAGTAATTTGTATTTTTCAGAGAGACAGATTTAAGGTTTGGAGAGTTCAGATGCAGATGTGTTTAACGTCAGGTAGTAAACCAGTGGAAGAGATATTTTAAGGAAAAAAAATAAGTACTTTGGGGTTGAATAAAATAAGAGGTTGTCATTAAAAAGGCATTTCAGTATAAATATTTCAATTTACACAGCAAGGCTTTCACATTGACATTAAAATAGTAAAGAGCCAGAAGAGAAAAGCATTTTGGTTATTTAAACTAATTTTTTTTCTTTATGGAATTCAAAGTCCTATATATAGAGAGAAAATTACAAGCTATACAGTGTTTTTGGAAATACTGCCCTTGGGTTGTTTCTTTATCTAGATAAGGAAGATCTGCGGGAAGATGGTGCTAGGATGCTGTATGAAGAATTCCAAAGAGTGAAGGAGCAGACGCGGCCGGGCACGAGACTGGACTTAGACACAGCTCACATCTTCTGTCAGTGGCAGTGCTGTCTGCAGATGGGGATGTATCTCAATCAGCTGCTGTCCACTCCTCTCCCGGAACCAGACCTAACTCGGTAAGCACCACGGGAAACTAGTTCAGATGGCTGCACACAGAAGTAAATACTTTTATTTATACTTAAAGCACATTAAGTTATGTTTAAAAAATTAATCTTAGTATAATTGGTCTTGGATCACTATTATAGCTGAAGAGCTAGAAACAGGAGAAATACTAATTTTTTCCATACTCCCAAAAAGTTTCCATGATTAGATCAAAGATTAAAAAACCAGCCCCTTAAAGTAAAAAAAGAGGCAGTTGGTAGGATATAACTCATTCCTTCATTTCTCTCAGGTCTTTATTCAAATACTTTATTAAGGCTTTTTCTGATTACCCTTCTAGAATATTATTCTCTACTTCCAGTCACTCTAGTCCTATTACTCTTGGATTTTTGTAAATTCCATTTCTTACCACTTGGCATACTGTTCACATACTCAAATATTTATTAAATGCCTACTCTGTGCTAGAGTGTAGTGAACATTTTTTAATTTCTGTTGTCATGGAGCTTATTCTAGTGAGATGACTATTAGATGCTTCAGTGAACTTTATCTAGGGTTTTTGTTTTGCCAGGTAAGTATGAAGAAGGGAGAGGCAGCCTGTTGCCAGGAAGTGATTATGTTGGACTATGGAGTTGAAGCTGGATAAGAAAGATAGCAGTAGAGTGTGGGCCAGTGAAAAAGTGCTACATTCAGTGGATTGGGACATCCTGGTGATTGTCCATCCAGGAAATCCAGAGGGAGGGAGGAAGATAAAGGGGAGTTAGCAAATGGAGCTGAGATTATAGATATGCTTTGTCTCTCCCCACTTGAATGTAAGCTCTGTGAGGACAGGGACTTAGCTGTTTTATTTACTTTTGTAGCCCCAGGGCCTAACATATAGTAAGTACTCAAATATTTGTCAAGTAAATGAGTGATACATGAATGGAAGCATATAAAATATGCTGGTGTGACTTTAAATGTTTTAAGGTATAAAGCTTCCTAAGCAGTAAATGTTGTTAATACGTCCCTGGGCCTAATATCTGAGCTAACCCTAGAACCTACCACCAGTAAGATTAATTGGCCTTTGACCTATGGATTCTTTATGCCTTTCCTTAAATAATTTAGGTCATTCTTGACTGGATCCTCTCTAGCTACCACAGATCCCTTTACAACAGAACAGAGAAAAAAGACCAAACAGTTCTCTTCATGATTTCAGCAGGACTGTTCTTGCATCTCAGCATTACTAGAGCTTATTAAATGATGATCTTACACTGATTAAATGATGGTTCTGTATCAGTTGCTAAGGCACCAGTTGATCAACTCTGACATTAAGTTATATATTAAATTTGTGGCTTCCAGTTAATCCCATCTTATATTTCTGAAGTAGGTTCTCAGTGCAGGTCAATCAGTGAACTTGCAAATGATGCCACTAAATTTTCTCATATTTCAACAGATGGCCTATTTGGTGTATCGGACATTTTTAATTCCTTTTCTTTGAAGTGTTAAGAGGCCTGCTCAACTTTTGGCTGGTTACAGAACTAGCAAGCATCTATCATTTTTTGATAATAAAGTTTTTAAATATCATCAGCCAAGTTTTTAATAACAGCTCCATTCCTTCCTTCAAGGAACAGGTTTTAAGTAATTTTAATAATAATTTTATAGAAGCAAGAAGCATTCTCAATGTTTAGCTGCATTTGTTGAAGCCAATGTTAATGACCGTTGTCTCTGCACCGAACCTATGCTTTACCAACACACTTTTCTCTCCCGTTGAACAGACTTTATAGTGGAAGCCTGGTGCATGGACTATGCCAACAACTGCTAACATCAACTTCTGTAGAAAGTCTCCTGAGCATGTGCCCTGAGGCAAAGCAACTATATGAACATCTGTTCAATGCCACAAGGTCATATGCCCCTGCTGAATTATTCCTACCAAAGGGTAAATCAAATTCAAAAAAAAGAAGGCAAAAGAAACACAGTACCAGCTGGTCAAAAAACAGAGTGGGAACCACCTCAGACACTAGATGCTTGTATGAGGGAAGCAATCGTTTTGGGCTATTAATGGTTGAAAACTTGGAGGAACAAATTGAGGTCTCAGAGCTTGAATAAACTCAGTCTGCAACCAGATGTATAATTCTTAAAACTTTTGTTACCTCCCTTGAAATGATTAACTGTTTTATTTAGAATCTGTTAGGGAATAAACATTGTAAGAGGCAACCTTTGAATCCCAAGGTATTTTGTATTCTGCTTTTAATAAATACAACCTGATTTAAGAAACTTCTGTATTTTCTTAAACACACTTGAAAGCATGTTTGTACTTCTTATGTTCCATTTCAGAAAGTCCATAACCTTTACATTGCAGCAATTCAGCCAGCTTTGTTTCCAAAAAGAACAGAAGTCCTACTTCAATTATTTCCTATATATAAGCAGAAGCTGGGTTATTATTGTAAACATTTATTTTTTTCTCAACTGTTTCCTCTTCATCCTTTATTCTGAAAGGTCTGAGGCCTTGGAAGAGAAAAGTGAGGGTGCCAGAGAGAAAGTAAACACCTTTAAGTACTAGGAAAATGAGACCATGGCAGGCTTAGGAACACTTTACATGCTCCAGGTTTTAAAGAAGTTAAAACTGTAATGGCTCCAACAAGTTAAGAAATAGCATCGTGAGCTCCTAGATCTAGAAGAGAAGGAGGAAACACTATGAAAAAATTAGATTAGTGATATATGCAGCAATACCAGAATCTTAGGCCATTTTTTCTAGTGCAGGTATTGACCCATTAATGGGATATAAAATTAATGAGTCATAACCAGCATTTTTTAAGTAGAAATCATCAGACATACATATCATATATTAAATGGTTACGCAAAATGTATTTCTTACTGTGGATTGCAGTCAAAAGACTTTGAAAGGCACTGCTCTGGAACATACAAGGCTGCTAAAATTATAAGTACCAAGAGAATTGTGAAAGTGCTGGCCAGTTCCAAATAAAGAACTTGAAAAGTAAGCAAGTGGAATGAATCTAATTGGGCAAGATCTAGAGATCTGGAGGTAGATTCCCAACCTTTATTTTATTTGCATTCATACAAATTGTTATTTCCTTTCTTCTGTAGTCTCTCACTGGTATATTCCGTCAGTGAGAACCTTAAAAATGGTTTTAAGCTACCATTCTGAACAGGCCTATGTTCAGTTCCTAACATCTGGCAAACAAGTCTCTCCACTTCCCTAGTGAGAACCATACTCAGGGGAGTAAGCTCAGCATCAGCCAGTGTTATATACACACCTTCCAAGTGTTGACTGGCAAAAACACAATCTTACTTGTTCCTAAAGTTTTCAGCCCTAAAGACTGGCTTTTGTTTCAAATAAATAGTTCTTGAAATAAGGAAATTTTTATTTTAGGAGGAGTGCATGGGGCTCTGTACTAAAGTTCTTTTTATGTCTCTAAAGAGATGGTTATTCACAGAAGAATCAAAAACAGTCATATGCTCTATTTTTGATATGTGTTTTTCCAGTAAATAGTAAATCTAATGGAGACTACAAGCACATTAAGTCCTTTGTTGTATCAAAATTCTCTTTTTCTTGATTCCTGCAGTTGGGGTCCAATCTGGAAATTACACCAGCATGAATGTCCTATTTCCTGGCTTTACTATCAACACTGCTTTTGCAAACCACCAACCTTGCAGGAAAAACTATTTCTACTTCCACTTTGGCACATCACTGGTTTGACAGGTACCTAACTGAAGAGTGTATGGGCTACAGAGTTTAATTAAAAGTCAACTGAATTATATCACTCGTATTTTTCTTTCATTAAAGAGTTTTTCAAGCAAAGGGGCCCCTCCTTCAGTAGACACTGAAGTCAGGTTCCCTTCTCTAACCATTGCAATCAGGGCTATTTACTTGAAATTACCCAGCCTTGCAGTGAAGGAGTTAAAATCTAATAATGTCCATTTACTTTTACTCTCTGAGAATTAAGGAGTTACCCCACCCCATTATAGATCTTCTCCTGGATGTATAAATGAGAGATCATAAGCACTCCACAAGCTATCTGAGGGGTTTACCAAAGAAATATGACATAGTACCTGATCCCCAAAGTCATACTTACATAAGCTGCTTGGGGAGACAACACACAATGAAATAACAAGAACATTTTATGAAGCAATCTGTCAGCCACAAAATGGCAAAAGAGCAGATTGAATGCTACAATAAACAGCAGTCTCGAGGTGAGGACTGGTTAAAGCACAAGATTCTCAGATTTTGCTTTGAGCCTGGCTTTAAGAGACAGGGATGTAATTGAGATGAGATACAGGGGCAACTGTAACACCTCTACAGAAGAAGATTGTTATATATTCCATATTCTATTTGGAAAATTTGTTTCCTGTTTTTAATCAAGTCTTTAGGTCTTGCTCTTTCTGATTCAATTTTAGCTAAGGAAAGCCCACCTGAGGCTTTGCAAATGTAAGTCTTCAATTAGCAGTTTAAGTACCAAAGGGACTCTGGACAGTTTTTTTTTTTTTTTAAGATTTTATTTATTTATTCATGACAGAGAGAGAGAAGCAGAGGGAGAAGCAGGCTCCCAAGGAGCAGGGAGCCCGATGCGGGACTCGATCCCAGGACCCTGGGATCATGACCTGAGCCGAAGGCAGACACTTAACCATCTGAGCCACCCAGGCGCCCTGGACAGTTTTTTAAAATGAATAAATTGGAGCACCTGGGTGGCTCAGTCATCGGCTCAGGTCATGATCCTGAGGGCCTGGGATTGAGTCCCGCAACAGGCTCCCTGCTCAGCAGGGAGTCTACTTCTTTCTCTCTCTCTCTCTCTCTGTGCTCGAAATCTCGTTCTCTCTCGCTCTCACTCTCTCTCAAATAAATCTTTAAATAAAATGAATAAATTTTAGTAATAAAGCTAAAGAGAGAAAAACACTAATATAATCATACTCTAGTTGTGATAAAATTATACTTGAACTTCATTTGTACAACCCCTTTATGAGATAGCTAGACCTAGAAAGCTTAATGTATATATCCTGTAACTATAAATTCTAAAGGCTTTTCAATATGAGTGATCATGACAAAATTCAAATT